GTCCGGCCGCGAGCCAACGCTCCCGAGCCGGAGCTCGCGCCAGCTGAGCGCTCTCATTGGTCGGGGTTTTTTATTAATAACTCCTTAACCACCCCTCGGACAACTTTTTCGCAAAGGAAAATGTTATTTAGAATTGCGTCAGGAACCTCCCATTTCAATATCTTACACTAGTTCTGGGACACCCTGTATTTTGATTATAGTGTGGCTGAAGGTATAATCTAACAACCCCGTTTTTCTATATGATACTTTGGACAAAAATTGCGCTGGCTATTTATGACGAACAACAAATGCACGTAAGACATTTAACATCTCCTAGAGAAGTGTGGAAAGAACTTGAAAGATTATATGCTCCACGTGATAGCAAATTCCGCATAGTACAGCTACGTCGCAAACTGTATTCTATAAAATTAAACGATTATGAGTCAATGGAAGCATACCTAGGCCAAATAAACCAAACAGTAGCAGAACTAGCGAACGTAGATACCCAAGTAGAAGATGGAGATCTGGCAATGATAATTCTGTGTGGACTACCAGAAGAATGGGATATGGTGATATCAACACTATGTAATGTACCAGAAGAGGAATTTAAACCTTCAATTGTTAAGAGAAGAATCCTTGCAGAAGCTGAAAGAGGAAAAGAGACACTGGAAAGTAAGCAATCTGCAGTGATCATGAAAGTTAATAATTCTCAATTTCAGCATAGGAAAGAGAAACAGACAGAAAGAACAAAACCAGATATACAGAAAGGAACAATATGTTTTAAATGTCAGAGGCCTGGACATATCAGTAAATATTGTCGAAGCAAGAGAAATTTCTCAAGGAACCACGTCAAAGCAAAAAGCATGAATGTAGTATTAGGAAATGCAATTAATGATGAGGATGCAGCACACGGTTAATAAATTCTGATGCCACGCATCACATGACACCAAATGAGAAATATTTTGCAGCACTCGAAACAGGTATTGAATTTGAAAATTTTACAACGGCTGACGGGACAGCAGTACATGTATCTGGAAAAGGCAAAGTAAACGCAGAGATTATTGAAGCCAGAGGAAGCCTGGAAGAATTTGAAGCTGAAAACACTTTTGTGGTAACGTAATTTTAAGAGTTTTTGTTTTAACGTATGCGTCATTGATGGTTCGAGAAGTGAGATGGGAAAAGCGATCGGAGTGGGCTGCGTGCGAGTCGAGACGTGTCGTAGCAACGTAATTAGCAACGTAATTAGCAACGTAATTTTAAGGGTCTGTTTTTTGAACATATGAGTCGAGTTGTGTTGATGGATGCGGTGCGGTGCGTGTTGATCGAGAAGATTCTTTCCGTGTAATTTTTCACAGTTCATTGTATTTCAACCTTCTTCTAATTTCTAATAAACTATAGTTAGAACTATTACAAAATTGGGGGTCGTCCGGGATAGAAGGAAATAACGAGTACAGTGACTGTGTTAAGTGTTGAATTCGTGTTGAAGAGTTGTTCAAAATGTCGAATGAAGAAAGCGATACTGGAAATGATGTTGTTGCACAACGAAGTTCGCTTAATGATAAGTTGCGCGAAGTGGAGATGATGAAAGTGTCTCAGTTGAGAGATGAATTAAAAGAACGTAATTTGAAGACGACTGGAAATAAAAAAAACGTTGCAGAATCGTTTGAGAGTTGCCCTCCCTTCGGGAACCAGTCGTAGTAAAGGTGGAACTGAATCCAGCGATAGTGAGGATGAGGATGATCAGGATGATGATCAAGAGTTGCATAGAGGAATGCAGACTTTGACGTTCAAGGATGTGGAAGAATCAATTAGTACTTTCAGTGGCGATAATAACGAGAATGTTCGTTATTGGCTTCAAGAATTTGAAGATATGGCAAAATTGTGTGAGTGGAATGGCGTACAAAAAGTTATATACGCGAAGCGATTGTTGCGAGGATCAGCCAAGTTGTTCGTGAATTACGAAAAATGTTGCCGAAAGTGGTCTGAGATGAAGCAGGCGCTGATATCGAAATTTTCGCAATCGGTGGACGCGCATAAAATACACAAAAAGTTGTCTCGCAGATTCAAGAAGTCAAATGAGTCGTATCAGGAATATATCTATCAGATGCTGGAGATAGGCAAACAAGCAGACATGGAAATAGCGGCAATAATTAAATATATCATTAATGGAGTTCAAGATGATGAATCCAACAAAATGATATTGTATGGTGCCAGGACGATACGTGAGCTGAAACAGAAATTCGAATCCTACGAAGCCATGAAGGAGAATTCAAGAACGAAGAGTAGGAAAGCCGAAGAGAAGACGAAGAAACCAGCCTGTAGAGTTGCCGGTCAAGAAAACGTTCGGAGATGTTTTTTGTGGGGAGATCGTAGTCATTTAAGTGCAAGCTGCCCGACAAAGAATAAAGTTATGAAATGTTTCAAGTGTCAGGAATACGGGCATGTTGCGTCAGCATGTAGTGGAGCGAATAAGCCTCTGAAGGATGTAAGCAGTACGTCGGAAGATTCACGAAAAAAGCGTTTAAAGGAGGTACAGATTGAACATTGTAAGTTGGTAGTTTTGGTAGATTCCGGTAGCGATTTGAGTTTGATGCGCGCAGATCATTATGTCAGAATTGGTGCACCTAAGCTAAATAATAAAATCCTGCATTTTCGCGGTGTAGGAGTAGAGAAGAGTTATACGTTAGGGCATTTTCAACATATATAACGATAGATGACACGATATATCCAATAAATATACACGTTTTACCTGATGCGTTGACACCCCATGGTTTAATACTTGGTACAGATTTTTTTGATTCTGTAGAACTCGTTATGAAAGGGGAAGAAATTATTATTGAAAAATTAGATGTGCCGGAAGTTTTTAGTATGAATACTGAAACTACAGTACATGAGGTAGATTTATCGCATATTGTAGTTTCTGAACACAAAGAAGCAGTAAAAGAGTTGATAGAAAATTACAAGCCCGACAAAACATGCGAAGTTGGAATTACAATGAATATTATTCTAAGTGATGATATACCTGTTCATCAAAGACCGCGAAGGTTATCTCCTGGGGAGAAGGACGAAGTTAATAACCAGATAGCATTATGGTTAGAAGATGGAATTATTCAACGGTGTCATTCGGATTATGCCAGTCCTATAGTGTTGGTTAAAAAGAAAAATGGCTCAACTCGAATTTGTGTTGATTATAGACAATTAAATAAAAGGATTATAAAAGATAGATACCCATTGCCGTTAATAGAGGATGAATTGGATTCGTTGCAAGGTGCGAAAGTATTTAGTACGTTAGATTTGAAAAACGGATTTTTCCATGTATCTATCGAAGAAAATAGTCGGAAATATACAGCCTTTGTCATACCCAATGGACATTATGAATTCCTAAAAGTACCATTTGGTCTTTGTAATTCGCCAGCTGTTTTTCAGAAATTTATCCATGCAGTATTTAGTAAAGTAATAACGGCTGGCATCGCTCGTACGTATTTGGATGACATTATAGTGTTAGTTAGCGATACAGTGTCCGTAATCGAGAACCTTAGAACTGTGTTAAGTGTAGCGTCTCAGCACGGATTAGTAATTAATTGGAGCAAATGTAATCTTCTGCAGACGAGAGTTGAGTTTTTGGGACATATTGTTGAAAATGGTCATGTTCAGCCGTCGGAAGATAAAACTAAAGCCGTTATCAAATTTCCAAAGCCGCAATTTATAAAGGATGTTCAGAGTTTTCTGGGTTTAACAGGATATTTTAGGAAATTTATCCATCAGTATTCGGTTATAGCGAGACCATTGTCGAATTTGTTAAAAAAGGACAGTAAATTTAAATTTGAGACGGCTGAACAGGAGGCGTTTGATAAACTTAAACTAATTTTAAGTGGTATGCCAGGTATGAAATTGTATTGTATGGGTGCTGAAACTGAGCTACATACCGATGCATCTAGTTTAGGGTATGGAGCGATTTTAATGCAACGCGATAACGAGGATGGTATTTTTCACCCCGTTTATTATGCAAGCGGAAAAACCACACCTGCTGAGGAAAAATATCCTAGTTATGAACTCGAAGTCTTAGCAATTATAAAGTCTTTAAGAAAATTTCGTGTTTACTTGTTAGGAATTCCATTCACAATTGTTACAGATTGCCAAGCGTTTGCGTTAACAATGAACAAAAAAGACTTATGTGTACGCGTAGCCAGATGGGCACTACTTCTTGAAGAATTTCAGTATAAAATTGAACATAGACCGGGAAAAATATGGCACATGTTGATGCCTTGAGTAGAAATCCATTACCTTCAATTATGCTAGTGGAAGAAGACGATAGTGGAATTATTGTTAGACTGCGTGATGCTCAAAAAGAAGATGTTGAGTTACATAAAATTTGTGACGATGTTGAACAATACCGAGCGAGTAGGTATGTTGTGAGAAACGGTATATTATATAAAGAAGTAAGTGATGCGCTATTAATTGTTGTGCCCAAGCGAATGCAGACGCAAGTAGTTCGTCAGGCACATGAGCGTGGTCATTTTGGTGTGACTAAAACTGAGGACTTGATAAAGCGAGATTATTGGTTTAAGGGAATGCGTCAGGTAATAGAAAAGGTCATTAGAAATTGTGTAAATTGTATTTTAGCAGAGCGAAAACATGGTAAGCAGGAAGGATTTCTGCATAGTATTGACAAAGGAGAATTACCCCTGGATACATATCATGTTGATCACCTAGGTCCGTTACCCTCTACGAAAAAGTCATACCGACACATATTCTCTGTTATTGATGCCTTTACGAAATTCGTGTGGTTGTATGCGACGAAGTCAACAAGTTCCGTTGAAGCCATTAGCCGTTTGCGCAAACAGTCGGCGATATTTGGAAACCCTAGACGTCTCATTTCCGATCGCGGTACATGTTTTACGTCTGATGCGTTTGAAAGTTATTGTAAAGAAGAAGGAATACATCATGTGTTGATAACAACGGGTATGCCACGAGCAAACGGGCAAATTGAAAGGGTTAATAGAACGTTAATAACATTAACCAAGTTAGCTGCACCAAAACCAGAGGAGTGGTATAAGTATCTCGAAACAGCACAGAAGTATCTTAACGCTACACCGAGTAGGAGTACTAATACAACACCTTTCTATCTGTTATTTGGAACTCAGATAAAAATGCGTGAAGATCCCGAGATTAAGCAGATGATAGAGGAAGAATGGATCACGATGTTTAATGCAGAACGTGACGAGATACGAGCACGAGCAAAAGAAAAAATAGCTGAAGTGCAGGCACAGAACAGGAAGACATTTAACAAGAACCGAAAAGAGGCAACAGAATATACACGAGGCCAACTAGTTGCAATCAAGAGGACACAAGCTGCGCCGGGTTTAAAGTTCCATTCGAAGTATTTGGGACCCTATCGTGTGACGAAATTGTTACGGAATAATCGCTATATGGTACAAAAAGTTGGGGAGCACGAAGGACCACAGATGACATCGACGGCTGCCGACTACATGAAAACGTGAATTGCCAACGGGGAAGACGACTCGATCCTAGACGATGATAATACTTCGAGTGACAAAGAAGGGCAAAGAGTGACATCTGAGGGCAGATGTTGTTATCAGAATGGCCGAGTGTGGTAACGTAATTTTAAGAGTTTTTGTTTTAACGTATGCGTCATTGATGGTTCGAGAAGTGAGATGGGAAAAGCGATCGGAGTGGGCTGCGTGCGAGTCGAGACGTGTCGTAGCAACGTAATTAGCAACGTAATTAGCAACGTAATTTTAAGGGTCTTTTTTTTGAACATATGAGTCGAGTTGTGTCGATGGATGCGGTGCGGTGCGTGTTGATCGAGAAGATTCTTTCCGTGTAATTTTTCACAGTTCATTGTATTTCACCCTTCTTCTAATTTCTAATAAACTATAGTTAAAACTATTACACTTTATGGGCACCAGATATTAAGAACAATAAATGACACAAAAATGACACAAAATGGAAAGAAAGTGATTTCTGACAAGTTCGGATGTCGCATATGCGATGAAAGAAACAATACACTGATTCAAGCTTTCAGAAAGGATAGGTTGTATCTGGTAAAAGCAAAACCAAAAGTTACATATAGCGGAAAAGTAGCAAATTTACAGGTAGAAAAGACAAGTAAGCTATCTCTGAACATATGGCACAAACGTTTGATGCACATTAATAAACATCAGATCATCAAAATTATAAAGACTGAAGCGGTCAGCGGTCTGGATTGTGACATATCAGAACCGACACCATGTGATAGTTGTTTATCAGGTAAGTCGAAGAGACAACTATTCCCAAAGCTAACCAAAAATTTGAAAACTGACTTCCTTGAATCAGTGATGTAAGATTTGTGGAATTTCGATCGCAGCGCGCGCGGTGAAGAAAAGTGAAACTAAAGGTCCTGATGCGGATTTTTCTGCCCATAGCGTGGTCCCAGTCTAGAATGCTATTATGTCTTAGCTTTAAGGAGAACCTAGCCGCGCGCGTAGTTTGAACGGCGTACCACTACACGCGTAATTTTTCC